GCCTCTTCCTGCCAATCACCTGGGCAGCAGTGCTGGCCCTGTGAGAGGTAACACAGGCTGTGGGAGTTTGCCGCTGAGACAAGAGAACCTGATGTTTGGAGGGCCTTCTGGGAGCTCGTGGCCACTTTAGGAGTGATGCAGAGCTCCCAGCAGGGGCCTCAGCTCAGTCCTGAGAAGCTATCCCTCTATCACCTCCTCAATTCCAGAGCTGAGGTTGGGCTCCGGCCCTCATCATTGTCTACCTTATTTGCAGCCACAGCCTTGTCTGACCTCAGCCCCAATTCAGCAGCCCAAAACAACTCCAACAGGGGAACAGGACAGATATGGCAGGTCTGCAGGGCCCTGGGGGCCACATTCCACCCCGCCCCCACCCCACCAGGCACAACAGCAAAGTTCTATAGCGTGGTCAGAAGATTTGTGGAGAGAGGCGATTCTCTTCCCCATCTTCAAAAGCAGTTGTCCACCACCAGCTGGGCAGGATGTGAGACTCCCACTGGAGCTCCTTCCATCTTTCACCCTGTAGGCCCTTCCCTCTGTGTTCAAGTTCACTCCCCAAACCACCAAGCCACACCGAGTCACTACCCCCAGAGAGCTCCCCAGGCCATGGAGAAAAGTCCAAACACTTGTCTGTCTGGCCACCCCCACCCCAGTATCTAGGCCCCAGCCCTTTCTAGTTGTGTCTACCCTTCCACAGAAATTGCAGGAGACTCCTCCTGTAGGTCCCACACTGGAACCTGCACTCAAGGCTGGTGCTAGGTGCTTTTGCTTGCCTGGAATTCTTTGTTTTTATTCTTGACTTCAAGAAATCTAGGGCCTGGTTCCAACATCACCTGCTCTGTGGCTCCTCCCACCAGTCAGAAAAATCCCCTCTCAAGCTCCCTGCCTGCTCCATTTAGGATGGGCTTTTTTATGCCCATCTCCTGCTCCCAGTTCCTGAAGGCCAGGATCCCTGCCGGGCTCCCCTCTTGGGATCCAGCACTGGTCCTGGGGCTTGGCAGGTAACTGAGTCACATCTACCAGGTTAACTAGAGGTAGTCACATCCTCTGTTTGCTCATGTAATTCTATGTGCAGTGATCCAGGACAGAACTGGAGCAGAATGATTTTGCAGCAGTGAAAAAAAATCTTAGTTGTCCTTTGCCTCCTTTGTTGTTTTCCCAAAAACACAGGCAAAGGGAGACCAGGCAGGCGGAAGACGAGGGACCCTCAAGGCTCTCGCATCAAGGCAGCCTCCAGTCAACTTGAGCAGCCCCACATGAGACTGTCTCCGCATAGCTAGGCAGAAGACAGTTGTAAATGGTAATAAGACAAGCACACACTTCCAGAAGGATCTGTCATTTTATGAGACCTGGTACCCAGCTCCCTACACAGGGATTCTGGGTTATCTGGAAAGAAGCTACTTTATCAATCCTGGAGCTAAGACTAGGTTGTAAGTACATGGCAGCTTAGCCCTGAAAGGGACCAACAAATCCATCAGCTCAGGAATGGAACACTGAGGCCCAGGGAAGGACGACAACTAGCCCAAAGTCACATAGAGTGCCAAGACTGGAAGTTGGACATCTAACCTCTTAGTCTTGCATTTTCCCTACTGAACTGTGATCCCTGTCCTGTAGCAGTGATTATATGTATGCTGGTGAAATAACACTGAAGCACTGTTTTTCTTATGGGTCACTGTTAAGCCAGAGTTGAGCAATGCTTGATCTAAAAAGAAATGGTATGAAACATTCCATCTTTAATTAGAAAGATACCAAATAGAAATGCACTGAATTCAGTAGTATTTGTTATCTTTCTTCTCCGTGTTGGGTGTGCACCTAGGTACCTGGGATCTAGTTATAACATGGCTTTGGTTTGGCTTGTCAAACAACACAGGATCAAGGTGACCTTTGCTTCTCAGGGCTGGATATCCTGACTGCAGAGATGAATTCTGAGCAATAAACTTCTCATAGTGGCAACTATGAGATTTAATGATAAAACATCAATCAAACAAGAGGGATTCTTCTAGTTCTGTTTTTCTCAGCTTGCAAGTTCCATGGGGTATGTTCCCTGCTATGCAGAAGCAACAGTTGGCCTTTTGAAGGCACAGTTACGGGTTCCCCAGGTGGCAGTACCTGGCAGAGCCCCAACAAGGTTCTCCAGAAAGCTGTGTCTGCTCTGAATCAGGGGCCCACATGCAGTGTTCTTTCTCTCAGAGCCAAGATCCACAGGCCCAGGATTCAAGGCTGGAAACTGGACAGCCATCAGCATTACCCTTACTGGCCCACCAGCAACGTCTTTGCTTCCTATTTCCTTGACCTGTGCTCTACTTGTACAGAAGTTTCAGTTCCAAAGGAGCAATGCTTTCTTTCCCAGCAGATACAATGACCCATGGATCAGAAAGTCAGGACTGCCACCTGGCCACTTTGACTCCTCATGCCTCAAAGAAGGGGGTCACAGTGCTGGCTGACCCTGACTCCAAGGATGACTTGGACTACTACTCCACAGTGGAGGCAGGGAAGAGAGAATCTGGAAGACTCAAGGTCCCTTTGGGTGTCTCTTACTATTACCATACCCTGTGATTATGGTTGGTGGAAAACTGCAGTAACCCATTCCAGGCAGGATTATTCATAGCCCAGACCCTTCAGGGATGAAGATGTAGGTCACCCACCAGGTAAAGGGCCACACCCAGCTAAGGTGCTTGTTAAAGGTAAAGGGAATACAGAGAAGTATTAGAAGAGAACTATGACTACCAGCCACCACCATCTGACCAGTTGGGGAAACAAGGTCTGTGATTGTCCTGAATATTCCCTCCTTGTTTTATCAAACATGTACATGTACAGCAAATGTCTTTGGTGTTTCCCTCTCTTGTGTAACATAAGCAGTGTTGACTTTCTGTCACAGAATTTAAGTAGTACTTAATCCATTCGTCTGTGCTGGGGCATCTTGGCTGTTTCCATAACTTGGCTATTGTGAATAGTGCCGCAATAAACATGGATGTGCAGGTGCCTCTGGAGTAACCCATGAAGAAGAACGAAATGTTATCATTCGCTGGTAAATGGATGGAATTGGAGAACATCATTCTGAGTGAGGTTAGCCTGGCTCAAAAGACCAAAAATCGTATGTTCTCCCTCATATGTGGACATTAGATCAAGGGCAAACACAACAAGGGGACTGGACTATGAGCACATGATAAAAGCGAGAGACACACAAGGGAGGGTGAGGATAGGTAAGACACCTAAAAACTAGCTAGCATTTGTTGCCCTTAACGCAGAGAAACTAAAGCAGATACCTTAAAGCAAACTGAGGCCAATAGGAAAAGGGGAACAGGTACTAGAGAAAAGGTTAGATCAAAAAGAATTAACCTAGAAGATAACACCCACGCCAACAGGAATCAATGTGAGTCAATGCCCTGTATAGCTATCCTTATCTCAACCAGCAAAACCCCTGTTCCTTCCTATTATTGCTTATACTCTCTCTTCAACAAAATTAGAGATAAGGGCAATAGTTTCTGCTGGGTTATTGAGGGGGGAGCGGGAGGGGGTGGAGTGGGTGGTAAGGGAGGGGGTGGGGGCAGGGGGGAGAAATGACCCAAGCCTTGTATGCACATATGAATAATAAAAGAAAAAAAAAAAAAGAATTTAAGTAGTACTGGTTCTCACAGTGTTTGAATACAGGATATCGAGGAATAAACACTATGTGGGGCTCTACCACCCCTCTTGGGAAGGAATGGGTGGTTTTCCATTGTACACAGGCTGGTTGTATCATGTTAGACACACTTACGACCTGTTACTGCCTTTATTTAAAAATCAGCTGTGGTTTGAAGAGATGCACCTACCCTTGGACTTAAAACATCACATAGCTTTTCCAGGCACACCTGCGGTGCTGTGACTTGGTTGTACTTTGTGTGTCCCCCAAGGTCCATTGTAATTGAAAACTTGGTCTTAGGCGGACACAAGGAAAAGGGGAATGCGGGTGTATATGGTAGATGTGTTTTGCATCCATAAATGGAAATAGAAGAATGAAACCTGTTGAAATGTCCTAAGAAGGGGGGAGAGGGAAAAGAGGGAGAATGATGGAGAGGGTCAAACTAAGTAAGACATATTATAAGCACATACATAAATATTACAATGTATCCCACTGTACAACTATTATATGCCAATAAAATCATAAAAAAGACTCCTATTAGGAGGTAAAAATTAAACTAAGAAAAGAAGGCTTGGTCTGCAGGCTGGTATTGTTGGGAGGCGGTGGAATATGGGGCCTAGTAGGAGGTCCTTGGGTCATTGGGGGAGTGCCCTTAGAATGTAGTTCTCCTACAATTCCTTGAGTTATCTTAGGAAAGTTGTTTTAAAAGGAGTAAGCTGGGCTGGGGTGTCACTCAAGTGGTAGAGTATCTGCTTAACAAGCAGGAGGTCCTGAGTTCAAACTCCAGTACTGCAAAAAAAAAAAAAAGAGTAAGCATGGCCACTTGCCTGCTCTGTACATGGGGCTCCAGGTATAACCACTTGCTCTCTCTTGCACATGCTCCTGCCTTGTAATCCACACAGGAAGTGATGCAGCCAAAGGTTGGCACTTGACACAGAACCTGCCTATGCTGTTTGTATTTGGACCTCTAAAACCGGAGCTAAATAAGCTGCTTTTCTTCATAAGGAAAAAAAAAAACATTGATTCTTCTGCCTACCATTTACACGAGAATGGCACATTGGCTCTCCTGCTCTCCAGCTTGCTGACTGCAGATAGGGACTTGTCAGTCTCCAAAACCACGTGAGTTAATTGCTTATACTTCCCTCTCACACACAATAGGAGATATATACATATATAAAACATATATTCTGTTTTTCTGGAGAACCACAAGTAATACAACACTTTAAAAAACACTGCCAAGGCAACACCATTCTAACGTGGTTACCATGTAAGGAAAATGGCAGTGACAGCTTGAGGAAGTGCACACCTGCAGTGTATACCACAGGTGGCCACGGTGCTGCCTTTGATCTATGAGCACATGTTCTCCTTCCGAGCTACTCACATCAGGGTCCAGCTCATCCAGCTCATTTTCCAGTGTCCTGAGCTCCTCCTCGGTGAGGGCTCCCAGGATCTCATCCTCATCCAGGTCACGGTATTTCTCTAGCTCTCGTCTGTAGGACATTGTAGAAGAACAAAGAGTTTGCCTTCTCAGCTTCTGTGTTGATCTATGAATGACCTACCAGAAAGAGAAAAACTCTTAGAAAGATTCTTCTCAGATTTGCTCTCAAGCAAAAGGATGCATGTTTTACAAATGGTCAGGATGATAATTATTGTAATAAAGTGCTACACAAGAGGATGAATTCTTTTAAAAGTCCTGAACATGGAGACAGTCCTAAGGGCATGTGCTTAATGAATTATAATACACATGGCCATTAATTAGACAATGGGTGGTCATGAGTACTTAAAAACACCTTTATTTTTCAAGTACTTTTCTGGACAACCCTCTACCCTCTATCCAATGCCCCAGTGGGAATCATGGATGCTGGAAACTGCAGATCTGCCTTTTAAATGGGGAGGGGATCCATGAGTAATTGAACACCTGCTGCATGCAGGCCCATCACCTGCCACTTTTCATTCACTCCTGACAGGAAGTAGTCTATAGCAATAGCTAACTTTTACTACCAAATGCCAAGCCACGTGGTAAGTGCTTCATAAGGATATTCAAATTAAACTTTCATGGTAAGTATTTATTATTATCCTCATTTTTCAGATGGAGGTGTTGGGCTTAGAGAAGTTAAGTGACTTACTCAAGTCACACTATGAAGAAGTGGCAGGCTGATAGTTTGAGCACAGGTTTGTTGGTACCTCCAGTCCAAATTGCTCTAGCTGTTGTATCGTGGAAACATTTTCATAGGATCATCTAATGCCGTGACCAGGATACTGTCTAGCCTGGGCCCTTCATTTCACCTGGAAGGGAGCTGGTTCAGAGGGACGAAGTGATTGGTCCAGGGACACCGGGGTTCAAGCCTGCCACTTCCAGGATGTTCTCTTTTGCTGAAGAAGGCTACCATCCATTTCCTAACCCAACACACCCACATGTAGACCCTGAGTCTGCTACTTCCCATAACTATCACATTTAATACCTGCTAACTCATTCCAATGTCCTGACATAGACTGGAGATTGGGTCTTTTAGTTAAAACCATTGTACCAGTAAAGAAATCCCTACCTAGGGAACCTAGGGCTTGACCCCTGACATCAGCCCCTGGGTGTTCCTCACTACACAATACAGCTTCTCACCTAAACTAAGGGGACAACAGTTACTCAAGCCCTTCTGTGCTCCGAATTGACTAAAGTTGTCTGATCACATGACCAGCCCAACTCATACATTACCTCCCCAAGAAACCTTAACAAACCCAAGCTCATCATGGCCTGAAACTGGGTCCACACTTCTCTGTACAGCTCCTGCATCCATATCCCACTTGGATTCCCTGTGAATAGAGTCTTGGTTTGCATGGTCCCCCCTATCTCCAGGGCTTCTTGAAATGAGCCCAATGCCATTTCTCTACCTGCCTCTGGTGCCTGATCGGTCGGTCCTAAGAAGGTTCCAGGCTCTTTTCCTCTTGGAAAATGTGTGCTTGCTGAAGGGCTGCTATGATCTCTGCATGTGAGTCTGTCTCCACTGTGCTTCCACCTACCTGAGCTGAGCTGTCAGCCATCCTTTCTGAAGCTGATGGACAGATGGGTAAGGGAGCAGCTTGGGAATCCCTAACCACTGCAGAATGGAGCACAAGACTGTGCCTAGAGTTGGTGCAATGGGTGGACTTGTGTCTCCCCTAAACTCGGATGTTGAAATTTAACACCCAGTGCCTCATAACCCAGTAGCCTGCTACAAGTAAGAATGTGACCTTCCTTGGAAATGTGACTCATACAGAGTCACTGCAGATATAATTAAGTTTAGATGAGGTCGTAATCCAATGATGATAATCTAGTATGAATATCGTCTTATAGAAAGGGAAGTTTGGACACAGAAGAAGAATGCTTGTGATGATGCAAGCACAGAGCAGGATGATATGTCTAAAAACTAAGGAATGCTGAAACCGAGGAGCAACCCACCTCGGGGCAACCCACCTTGGGGCAACCCACCTTGGGACAAACCACGGAGGCTAGGGGAGACACTTGGAACCAATTCTCCCTCACATCTCACAGGAGGAACGAAGTCTGCTGACACCTTGATATTGGACTTCAGTCTGCAGAACTGAGTGCCAATCTCTTTCTATGGTCTCAGCCACTCAGTGTGCTCTACTTTATTAAGCTGTCCAAACACACTTACGTAACGGTATTATCTTCTTCATAGCAGTTGCAAACAAATAAACAAAAACCCCAAACAAATCCAGGGCTCATCTGTGAAATGGTGAATGGAATTTTCCATAGTACATAAAAACAAAAACTAAGAAATGATAACCAACCAATCAATCTAAAATCTGAGATTTGTTGTTTATTTAAAAGAACAAAAGCAATGTAAAATAAACCAAAACCAAAATTCATTAAACTAAGAGAAAAAGTCTGCATTTCAGACAGCAGAGAGCACATTTCATTGGTGTAAGTCTGTATGAGTGTGGCCACATTTGCAGGAGAAATTGGAATAGGCTACAACTGGCTTGATAAGGAAGACTTCCTTCCCAAATACAGAAATCCCAGTGCTTTTTCTCTAAGAATGGTTCAGCTTGGGCTGATGTATTCCTTTGACCAGACTCCAAGACTTCAATATTTAGACCATAAATGGGCCCCCCATGATTCATTTCCATTTTCTTCCAAAGAAAGCACAACAGCTGACAATGCTCTGGTAGGGACAAAAAAGTTTCCTGAAGGCCTTCAAGAACAATATAATTTGGTTTTTCTAAGCAAATCCAGGAAAGAGAGAGAGAGGTCAAGAGGGACCTAATGCTTGACATCAATTCACAGAGATGTTCAGGGTGGTCTCCAAACGAGTGTCTATAAAACATAAAAACACAAGTTTATGGTGCTTGCTATGGTTTGGATGTGGTTTATTTCCCAACAGTTCATGTGTTGGGTCACCAGTGTGGCAGTGTTGAGGCAGTGTAGCCTTTAAGAGGTGGGGCCTTGTGGCAGGAAATTAGCTCATTGGAAGGGATTAATGCTGATCTTGTAGAATGAGCTAATTCTCATCAAAAAGAGTTGTTATCAAAAGAGAAAGACTGGTCTCTCCCGGTCTCTGGTTCCTGTCTTATCATATGATTTTTACCCTTGATCCACGCTCCACCATGACATCATTCATTATGTTGTGATGTAGCCAGGAAGCCCCTCATCAGAGGTCAAACAGATGTGGTCAATGGAACTTGGGTTTTTACTCTCAAAAACTATGAGCTAAATAAACCTCTCTTGATTTGTAAAGTACCTAGTCTCAAGTATTTTGTTCTAGCAACAGAATATGGACCAAGATAGTGTTCAAACAGATTTTAGGTTGCACCACCTTCCACAAGACTTTGGATTCCAGTACTTCTCAGTAGTTAATGCTACTATGCAATGGATGTCTCTAAGAGGAACAGGTTGCAAGAAGAATTGCTCAGTTCTTTTGACATGATACCATGTCTCTAAGAAACTGCTCCCAACATGGGAATCTCATGAAACGAAGTTTGGAAAACAGTCTTAGAGTCACCTCTGGGTCACGTCAGTGAGCCACTCAGAGCCACACAAGAAAGGATGTTGTAGGGACGGGACCAGGACATGGCTCTGGTGAAGTCAGGCAGTTTTGAAACCCTAGAAGCTTCCCATGCTTGTTATCTTTTCCAGTTGACTCCTTTTCTTGATTGATCTGCAGTCAAAACCTTAGAAATATAATCAAAGACAAGCCAGGCCAAGAGAATAGGGACAGAGGATTCCGTATCAAAGCCAGCTGGGCAGAAGGAGCTGGAAACAGACCCAGAAGAGAGAAACAGGTTCAAACTATGGGGCCTGCTGAAAGAGAAGTGTGGGGTCAGGCAACAGGCTGTCCTCAAAGGATGTCACCCTGAGGTGACAATCATCAAAGTTCCTGAAGTCTTGTCTTGTTGCACCCAGGAAAGTTACTATACCACGTATGCACCCCAAGGTGCTGCAGGATTCCAAATCTCTTTTTCATAGGATTTAAAATGCCCTTTCTAATTTCAAGTGTCCTGTGACTATTAGGGAGTGTTGAGGCATTTCTTAAATCAGCTTCAAGCCACACACAGCCAGTTGGCTCACATAGACGGTTTCTATAAAACAGGACTCCCCTCCTGGGGCTGGTGCCCTGAGAAACTGGAGGTGGGGAGGAGACAGGGTGGGAGGGAGGTGAAACCAGTAAGCTAAGAGTCCATTACAAGCTGGGTCTGAAAATATGGCTTGGAAGAGTTGTGTTTTACAACAGTTAATAGAAGGCTTCTATTTCCTAGTGAAGGAAGGTGTCTCACAGGCCTGACACTCCCAGGACTTTGGTTGGAGTGCTAATTGTAATGGCAACTCCTTGAGTGACCCTCACTGTGTCCCTTCCATTCTCTGGGCCTTCTGTTTGCTCATCTGAAACCCCACAGATGAGCTGTCACATGGTGGCTTTTTTGGACTGTGCCAGAGGAGACATGAGAAAGTGCCTGCAGTGGGTTAAGGCAAAGTGGGGAGCTCAGGCCTGATTTTACCCGATGTGTTTATTTGCGGTTCCATATAAGATTTCTCTTGAAAAAAGGATTCTATGGATCAAATTAAAAATTGAAAATTACTGGACTGGCTTCTTTGTCTGAATAGTCGGAAGCTAACAGTACTCACCCTAGAGGATGTCGTGAGGACTAATTATCAGCAAGCATTTATGGGCACAGCCTGAGGCCTGGGCACAGTCCATGCGGGCTCAACTAGTGCCAGCCATTAGAATGAGGCTGCTGGAGCCTCCACCTTCCCACCCTTGGCCCCATATTGTCATCAGACTGTAAGTTCCCCAGTGGGAGCTTATGCCTTATTTGCCCTGTGCCTAGCCCAGAGGTGCCATGTGAGCACACCTGGGTCCTGATGTAGCATCCTTGGAGCTTTCCTTAACAAGTCCCTTCTCTTCTCAGATCCTCTGTTTAATGTCTTTGATGTAGAAAGATTGGACCGGGGTGGAGGGAGGGGGGACTGGAAGTCCCAGGGGGTAGGACAGGCAGAAAGGGTGAGATGAAGCTACAGAGGATGCCAGCATGGCCTTCTTGGAGCAGAATGGCTGTGGGTTC